ATATATATATATATATATATATATATATATAGTTGGAATTTAAATCTACTCCTAATATTGTGCTTGTTCTAGTGCTCTCAAGCTTTACGTGAACTTGAACTCTGTTTGGTTCAGCAACACAGACTGAAATATTCAAGTCTAACAGGCTGCATGATTTATAAACTTATTTTCTTTAGATATTGGAGTTCCTATGGTATTAATAAAGTTCTTATAATTCTTAATAAATTTAAAGGAATAGTTAACTCAAAACTGAAAAATTGTTTCTTCAGAACAGGTTTAGTTAATGCTTGCTTGCTTGCTCACAATTGGATTCTCTGCAGTGAATGGGTGCCATCAGAATGTGATGTTGTTATCGGCTGTTTGAATTCTCAAGTAATGCACACGACTTCAGTCCATCAATTAATGTCTTGTGAAGTGAAAAGTTGTTTGTTTGTAATAAATCCATCAAGACATTTTTTTAACTTCAAACCGTTGTTTCCGGCTGAAAAAGAGTCCTCTACCCATAGTACTGCTTTCTCCAATGAAAAAGTCATCTCTTCTGAATTTGGAGAGAAATATGCACAGATCAAGCACTGTTTACAAGCAAAAACGGTTCTAGACAAATATGTTGCTGGATTTTGATGTGAGTGTATACATGGATGTTACGTCTACATAAATTATTTTTGAATTTTCTATTAAGGAACCTTGAAGTTTAATATAACCATTAAAAAAATATAATTTTTAAAGATGTGTATTACCATTAAAAAGAAATCAACAGGATAGGGAAAATACTTGTGGTGAGAGATTGGGGATGAGCCAAAAAAGAAAAGTAGAAGAACGAGAAATTAGGTCATTGGTTATGAACCGTATAAGAGAGGATCTGCGTTTGAGATTGTTCGAGTTTCTGCAGGCATCTCAGCTTTGTTGTCTTGACCAATAAAGTCTGATTTTTGGCATATTGAACTCCTTGACTTGAGATTTTTGAAAGAAAGAAGATATTCTACAACAAGAGGACAACAGGGGGATGGACTTATTCACTGGAGGATGCCTTATTATGGATTATAGACTCGATTGATTTGTTTCTTTCAAACATGCAGCTTTTGTGTTCACAAGATATTAACTGATGGACTGGAGTCGGTTGGGTTACTGTGATGATTTTATCAGCTGTTTGGACTCTCATTCTGGTGGCACCCATTCACTGCAGAGCAACCATTGCTGAGCAAGTGATGTAATGCAAAATTTCTCCAAATCTGTTATGATGAAGCAAACTCATCTACGTCTTAGATGGACTGAGGGTGAGTAGATTTTCAGCAAATTTTCGTTTTTGGGTGAACTACTCCTTCAAGGTAAAAGATAATAACCGGAGCACAATATAATATTTACTGTTAAGTTTTGTGATATTTAAGCACATTTTTTTGTATTAAAGTTCCAGAATTGGACCGGTTTGCAGCTCAGTTTACAGGGTATGAAGGTTCATCTGATGAGGATTATTATTATGATGATGATGACGATAGGTATGCCATCCGTACAAACAACAGATACTGTGGCTTTTCTCGCAACTTCCTTGAAAGAAGTCTGCCAAAACCATCCAGACACTTAACAGCTGAGGTTTGTGTCAAACACCTGCGACTCAATCATTATTTTGTTTTGTAAGATTTTCAAAAAATTATTCAACTTTTTTTATTTTAGGAAACAGAAAGAAATGCAAAAGAGCTAGTGGATGAAGAAGAAAAACTTAAGAAAAAGGCAGAGAAGAAAAAACAGAAAAGGATGGTGAGGGCATAAATGAAAAAAAGTGTTTTTATCTGAAAAACGTAAGTGTGAATATTTTGTTCAGCTGTATTTTTCTGAACTGCAAATAGAGACAGAAGGAGAGACGTCGGCTGGAAAAATTAGAAAAGGAGAATACAGATAAAGAAAAAAATAACCCGGTGAGAAAAAAGTTATTGTTTGTAAAATGATGTAGTTTGACACATCAAACCTCCATCGTTTTGTGCTTGTCTCACTGAAATGACAGTGAAAAGAAAAAGTGTTTTTTGTTTCTTTCTTTGATTTAAGGTGCAAGTTGACCCTGGACCAGAAAAGACTAAACATGCTGATAAAAATGAAAATAAAATGAAAAACAAAAATTGTTCATCTGTGCCTCCTGATCCTCAATGCGCCTCAGCACCTGTGCAGAGCAGTGATAGCAGTAGTGAAGACAACGGAGACGATGGTGAGGAAGACTCAACTATGGAACCAGAGGTGAGCTGTTTTATAGATAAAGAGCTGTTCGCTGAGTGGAAGATGCTGATTTTCATGGCAGTGCTTTATTCTGTGTCTTAGGAGCTTGACATGAATAGCTGCTTTGTGTCAAACGCAGCTGCTATCGCCAAACGCAAACTAGAACAAAAACCCAAACCTGACAAGAAATTTGCTCAAGCAAACTCAAGAAAACAGTGTGGCTCCGAGCAGAAAGACACCACTCCGCCACGAAAACAGGTTGGTAGAGAGACTCATTACTTTCCTCATATGAGACACTGCGTGTCCAGAAATCAGGTGTTATACTGCCTAGTGATTCAGTGTTGTGTAATGTTTCATTATCTAATTTTAACTTGTAATGGAACAACTCATAAATCTGTAATCTATTATGTCAGACAGTATGTCTAATATGATCAACCACGAAATTGTTTACACAGAATTGTGAGGCAGCAAAGGAGATTTTTTTTATTTTTTTTTATAGATTTATGGGTGGAGAGATGATAAAATTGTGGATATAGGTGTGATTCATTGTTCTTGACATGCTTTCTTATAAGACTGACCTTGAGCATTTACTGGTTATTAAGGAAACAAGTTAATAGCAATGATTATACATGTATCAGTCTGTCTAATTGCATGTTGCTGAAAGCATGATTATTTTGAGTGCCACCAGTAGATACAAACTAGGCGATAACTATTTCGGGAGTGCTGGGAAATCTCCAAAAAGAAGGAAGAGGAGGAAAACACCTACAATAAGATCATTGTTTAAAACCGTATTAAAGTGAGATGGTCAAATGTTCTGCAGGCGTGTCTGCTTTGTTGTAGACAGTCTTCTCTCTTTTTCAAAAAAATAAGGGAGTCAGGAAGTTCCAGATGCCGACAGCGCAAAGTTGTAGTATTTCCTCAGCAACCAGCACGGATCAGCTCCAGGCATGACGAAGCGATATCGTCCTCTTTTGGAAGACCAAACAAAGTAGTTTCGCTTTCACAACGAAACACACAGTGCCTTCACGACATGGCGGCGGCGGCAACAATACTACAGCGAGAATAAAAGTTACGCCTTCTTTCTTTGCGTGGACATTTGGGCGGCGTTATGCAAATCTTCCCAGATAGTGACGTAGATATGTGGGGGCGTGTTAGAACGAGCCGTTTTAGGTAGGCGTGGCTGACTCTTTTATAAAGAATATCTCTTTGGATTTGAGACTTTAGTCTTTGCAACTTTACAGATCTTCTTGCTTGAGCTTGTAACACTTCAAAGAGAAAGGAAAACTTGAAATCGCATCATATGACCCCTTTAAGAACGGTATAAAAGTGAGTTTCAAGTGAGATTGTAGGATATTCTGCAGGCATCTTGGGTTTGTTATCTGGATCAATAAACTCTGAATTTTGGCACCAGCTTCTTGCCTTGAGAGATGTTTTGGAAAGGAGTGAAGACTTTCTACACCACCTCTTTCTTTCTTTTCAAAGTTATTGTTTAAACATTGTGTGCACAGCAAGTACAGATTTTCACAAGCTGATTATGAAATTAAACTTGAATAGAATTAATTTGTTCTTTTCTGAATAATTTACAACTTATGCTAAAACATTTGTCAACAATGCAGACAATTCCCATGTACATGGAACTTTGCCTTGTTGTGGGTTAGCCTGTTTATTGGCGTCATATAATATCAGCATATATGCCATATCTTGTGCTCGCATTGAATTTGGATTGGAAACTTTCCATTCATCAAACAATGAATAGTTGTTAAATAAGAAGTGCATTTTTTTCCACATTAATAATAATAATATGAAATGTTTCTTTGGAAATTAGCATTTAATTCTGAAGGATCATGTGACACTGAAGGAGTAATGATGCTGGAAACTCAGCTTTGCCATCACAGGAATAAATAACATTTTAAAATAATCAAAGAGAAAGCTGTTTATTTTAAACTGTAATAATATTTCACAATATTATTGTTTTACAGTGTTTTTGATTAAATAAATGTAGCCTTCACTCGTCAGCTTTGCCATCACAGGAATAAATAACATTTTAAAATAATCAAAGAGAAAGCTGTTTATTTTAAACTGTAATATTTCACAATATTATTGTTTTACAGTGTTTTTGATTAAATAAATGTAGCCTTCACTCTTAAAAATAAAGGTGCTTCACGATGCCATAGAAGAACCTTTTTGTCTAAATGGTTCCATAAAGAACCTTTAACATCTGAAGAACCTTTCTGTTTGACAAAAGGTTCTTTGTGGTGAAAGAAGGTTCTTCAGATTATAAAAAGGTAAGAAAGAGATGGTTCTTTAAAGAACCTTTGACTGAATGGTTCTTTGTGGAACCAGAAATGGTTCTTCTATGGCATCGCTGTGGAGAACCTTTATTTTTAAGAGTGTTGGTGAGCATAAGATACACCTTTTAAATCCTTTATACAGCATTATACATTCTTGCAGAAGTATCTTTATGTAACCATAATCCTCTTGAACCATTTTGTGGAAGAAACCAGTTTGTGGAAGAAACCAGTTTATGACGTACTCTTTATTTCCATAACATTTAAATTGTCATTCCTGTAGATTGATATCAAGGAGGAGAAGTCCGAGGAGACTGTCAGTGCAAATGACTTGATTATGAGAAGCATGGAGTTGGCAGGTGTGACTGGAGTTTTTCTCTAAAAATGGCTTAGTCACGAAACGTCTTCCTAATTCCATCTTCTCTTCTATAGTTATAGGTAACCAGTATGCCGTCTCAGGAAACCTGGAAATGGCTGTGAAATATTTTACAGATGCTATAAAACACAATCCTAAAGAGTATAAGTGGGTGTTGACAGTTTTAATTACAACATAACTTCTAGTTCGATCAAAGGTTGCACATTAATGTGTTTTTGTTTGTCTGTGGTGCAGGTTATTTGGGAATCGTTCTTACTGCTATGAAAAGATACTGCAGTATGAGAAAGCTTTAAATGATGCTGATATTGCTCTTTCTATGAACCCCAAATGGATTAAAGGTCTTTACAGAAAAGGCAAAGCGCTTGTTGGACTGAAGGTATTACTATAGTGTTTTGCCAGTGTCATCCATCATTTAGAGTACAGACTCATCCACAAATGCCCCTCTGCTATTTTATTCTGACACAATCTTGTTGTTTCCCCTTCTGTCAGAGATACTATGAAGCCAGACTTACATATAATGAAGTGTTAAAACTGGACAGCACATGTAAGGACGCAGCTGAGGAGATGATGAGGGTGCAGCTCATGCAGCTTGTGGTGAGAGTAGCTAATGGATCACACTTTGTTTTAATGCTGATGCTGCGTGCGTATTGACAGCAGCTACATATTGGTTTTATGTTGTCCATTTGTTATAAAAAAAAAAACAGAATGGTAATGTCGATGCTTGTTTCATCAACAGGAAATGGGATTCACTAAAGAGCAGAGTTCAAATGCCCTTATTCTTCATGGAACTGTAGAAAAAGCCTTAGAAAGTCTCTCTGGTCAGTCAGGTATGATAATACTTGATAAAAACATGTATATATCAGGGACCGAAATTAACTTTTCCGTTAAGGGGCAGTATTTGCCCCCTGGGAGTGAGTTCTTGGTGTATTTTTAACTTTGTAAGGTAATTATAGAAATTGCCCTCTTTAAATGTTTTTTATTTCATATTTTAACAATTTATGTATTAAAGGGATAGTCACCCAAAAATGAAAATTCTATCATTAATTACTCACCTTCATGCCATTCCAAACCAGTGAGACCTTTGTTCATCTTCGGAACACAAATTAAGATATTTTTGATGAAATCTGAGAGCTTTTGATCCTGCATAGACCGCAACAGAACTTGTTGAATGAAGTCGTTGTTGTTGTTTTTTTGTTTTTACGCAAAAAAAGTATTCTCATAGCTTCATAAAATTTAAGGTTGAACCACTGATGTCACATGGACTATTTTAACGATATTCTTACTACCTTTCTGGACCTTGAATGTGGTAGTTGCATTGCTATCTATGCAAGGTCAGAGAGCTCTCGGATTTCATCAAAAATATCTTAATTTGTGTTCTGTAGATGAACGAAGGCCTTACGGGTTTCACTCAACAGATGTGTATGTGATTGGTTATGATGCTCAACACTGCAAAAAACAATGTGTACAAAGAAATCTTTGATGCAGCATGAGCAGATATAAATGTGATTCTACAATCAACACTTTTTATTCATTTCCACATTTCACTTTTATCATGACAGTAGTAAAATGTTTTAATTTAAATGTGCAGGGGCATGTTTTGTCCACGTATCTTGTTCGGTCCTTCCTAGTCTTTTTTTTTTTTTTTTTTTTTTTTTTTTTTTTTTCCCCATCAGAAAGATGCTGATTTCCATAAATATGCATGTGTATATAAATAGTGAGGGGGACAAATACAAGTAATACATTGAGGTTGCATTTAACTAACTCGTTCTATGCAGGTTTAAGCCCTGTCCTAGTGCCCGGAGAGCGCGAGTTTATGTCCGTAAAGCAAAACCCACAACCTCCAGCTAAATTCCTCCTCAGACCTCTTCCTCCGAATCAGCCTCAAGCCAGTATGCCAACCGCTTCTCCAGTTCGTCATCATCCTCCGTAAGACACACACATACAGGCATTTGTGCTACAACCTTTCACCTCAAAATCGCCTGAATCTGGCTGTCTTTCATCCCTAAACAGACAGCTATTCCCCGTCTGGGTCGGAGATCTGGTGCCTTCTATAACAGAGCCAAAGCTTTATGACTTATTCAGATCGTAAGTGACCTTATTTGTTTTGCAAACATCTTTTAACCAGTAAAATGCTTTATTCAGCATTGATGTGATGGAGCACATTTTAAGTTGTATAAATTTATCTTTATGAAACAGTGTTGGGCATGTCCATAGTGTAAGAGTGTTACGAATGAGACACTGTGCATTTGTTAACTACACCAAGAAGGAGGACTGTGAGAAAGCCATAGAAGATTTCCATGTGAGTATGTTTGTTTTGTTCAGTGGAATGTAAGATATGCAGATGACCATAGAGCTGCTTATAATATGTCTAACCCTTCTCAGGTGATATCAGTGGTTGGGGTTTGTTTCCACTGAAATGAAGATCTTGCATCAATTTTGTCCTTTCAATTAGGGGAAAAATAACAGTCTGTATGTTTGTTTTTGTTATTTGCAGGATTATGCCATTGATGGGACAACTCTAGTGGTGCGTTATCCAGATAGGATTCACGCACGTCTTGGAGTGTCCAGAGATGCATCTACAGAGTCCTCAGGGAAGAATGGGTGAGTGAACATGTTGTTTCTGCATGTTTTTTTTTTATGTTGCACATGAGTGATAGAACTGTGTTTAGGTTTTTGATTTGAGCTGTATGATCAGAATGAACAACTTTAAAGGAATAGTTCACCCCAAAATGGAAATTTGCTGAAAATTTACTTATCCTCGGGCCATCCAAGATGTAGATGTGTTTGTTTCTTCTTTGGAGCAGATTTTTACTTAGATTTTTTGCTTTACAATTACTTAAAATACTTTACACCACTGTGGATTGTTGTGATGTTTTTATCAGCTGTGTGGACTCTCATTCTGATGGTACCCATTCACTCCATTGGTGAGCAATGTTCTATTGGTGATGATAATGCTTAATTTCTTTAAATCTTTGCCAACGAACTAGGGCTGTCGCGATTCGTCGATTTTATTTGACTATTAGATTTTTAAAAATCCTCGACTTCATTTTGCTCGCGTCGACTAACCGGCAAAATACCGGAAGTTGCGCATTTCACGGACGAGAATCCATAAAACACATTATTAGACTGTTTTCCAAGGCCTCATGATATATTAAACCCGTTTAAAAATAATTAAGTATACCTGTGAATTCACAAACGCTACGATTTAATTAAATAATTATATGTGATGCAGTTCTAATACAGTATATGCGCTTTAATTATTTACATGCGTGTAGGTTAAGTACATGCGTCACACAGCGGCTCCGTTCACAGTAGTTCCACAGGAACTGTTCTCATTTATATGTGTGGAGCATCTCACTGCATCTCTGCATGTTGTTGTGAGTTTGGGTTTATTATAACGTTCATCTGGGAACGCAACATGCGCCATTTCATCAGATTTGTAAGGTAAATCATTTTATAAATCTACGCAAACACAGGAGAATACATCGCGGTTTCAAAATAAAAGCTCAAA